AATATCATCCATATAATGTATAATATACAGGGATTGAAATTTCTCGCTAATGGGGGCAATGGCCAAAGATACATAAATTTGACAAATAGTGGGACTATTGGCCATTCCTTGAGGTAATGCTACCCATTGATATCTCTTATAAGGCTATTTAAAATTAATAGAAGGAATGCTAAATGCAAATAGCTCACTATCCTGAGGATGCAAAGGAATGCTAAAAAAGAAATCTTTTAGATCTATAACTAATAAATGATAGCCTTGAGGAATACCCACAGGGGAAGGCAGGCAAGGTTATGTGGCTCCCATAATTTGCATGCAATCATTAACAGCTCAGAGATCTTGTAGGAGTCTCCATTTTCCGGATTTTTTTCTTTATAACAAAGATTGGAGTATTCCATGGGGAAGTGGAAGAAACAATATGTCCTGCCTCTAATTGTTCCTTTACAAGTTGATATGCAGCCTGTAATTTCTCAATAGATAAGGGCCATTGCTCCACCCATACTGGGTTATCAGTTTTCCAGATAATAGGAATGGGAACAGGCTGCACAGCAATAGCCCCTAAGGAAAATTTCCTCGCCCAGAGCGATCTCCGGCTCTTTTGATAATTAAAATTTTGGATGCAACAGACTGAGGGTCACCTTGTAGGAATTTACCCAGTCCTCTTCCTTGTACATAACCTTGGTCAGCCAGCATATTTTTAACAGGCTCAATAGTAAGGACTGCTCCCATGGCCTGAAGCACATCTCTTCCCCAAAGATTAACAGGAATATGACTTAACACAAAAAGTTGAAAAAGACCTGTATGTCCTTCATCGTCTGACCATTTAAGAAACTGGGTACTATATTCTGGAGCCACAGCAGTTTTTTGAAATGTCCTGGTTGTCCACACCCAAAGCAAGTCTTTGGCCTGGCTCCTCCAGTGTTCCTACCTCTTTTCATAACTGAAGCTATAACCTGGCCCATAATGTGATGACCATCTATGTCCTGACATATGCGTATATAGTCATTAAGACTTTTGGACTTATGGGGACATAAAGCCTCTTTACAATAGTTGTTTGCATTTTTGAATGCCAATTGATTAACTATGGGCATGTCATTTTCAACATCACCAAAAATGCAACCAGCCAGCTGTAGGAGGTGATCTGCAAATTCTGAATAGGGCTCAGACAGTCCCTGCAATACCTTAGATAGTTGATCTTCTGCAGCTTTACTAGGAAGGTCTTTCCAAGCTCTAGTAGCAGCAACAGAATTTGTGCAGAGACTGCTGGGTCAAAAAGAATTTGAGCTGCAAGTGTAGAATATTGCCCAGTGCCTGTGAGCATATCTAAATTTCTAGCAGGACATCTAGCAGCAGCATTACTTTGGGTGGTTTTCTTGCAAAATTCTTGAAATTTGCCTCTCCAGAGCAAATAGTCACCCCCACTCAGCACGGCTCTACAGAGCTGCATCCAATCACTAGGGGTGCAATTCAACGCTATGAAAGACTCAAAAATTCTCTGAGTAAAAGGAGCATGGGGCCCATAAGCAGTGACAGCCTCTTTAAGCAGTTTTATATCCTTAAAATTTAATGGGCTGTGCTCTCTAACCCTGTTATCCTGAGGATACACTGTCTCAATCACTTCTACCTTGGTTATTAAATCTTTGACCTCTTCCTCTAACCCTCGAGGTGTAGAGGCCCTACTAAAGGAATCAGAATCACAAAAAAGGTTGTGCCATGGCAGACAGCATATGCTCTCATCAACTTCAGTTTCTGGTTCCGAAGTATCCTCCTCATCAGTTATGGTAGGGCCATCATCACTAGTTGGGATCCCTCTTGTTCCCTGATAGACTTCACAGATTCTAAATCTTGTACTTCCTCAAAAGTCCTATTCATCTCTGCCACTTTTTTTCTTTCACTTTATGGCAATGAATTCTTTAGCTGTCTTGTTTTAATCCTGGTGCCCTGCCTTTTCAATAGGGCCACTAATTGCCTGCTGAGTTTTTCCTTAGAGTTACTGGCACCCATCCTTCAATACACCCTCATTCACTTACTTTGCCAGCTGGCCTTCGAGGGCGATCTCTTAGATGCTCCTTTCTTTCTCGATCTCGGTTGGACCTCCACTTATAGCACCCGCGCTACAATCTGTTCCACGAATTGGGCAAAGGCCTAGAGATTGAAATAAAGGCAAGACAGCAGGTCATTCATTCAATGGCAATGTCGAGAAGCCGAATGCCAAATGCCATTTATTGAGGGGATGGAATGGGCTTAAATACTGACTTACAGCACAGTGGAAAATTACAGGAATTTTAGGCTTAGCTCCTCCCCTATGAGGTGTGTGTTGTCATGAGGTGTGTGTTGTCATGAGGTGTGTGTTGTCACGAGGTGTGTGTTACCAAAACGGGAAGAATACCAACAAGGCTATTGCCTTGGGGCAAGGAGTTCCAGCCAACAGCTTAAGTCTTCCTCAAGATGCCTCGGGGGTCCATGCAGGGTCCTACAGGAAGTTCTTCTTAGTATCCACGTTGTGGTGCCATTTTGTTACGAGTAGGTTTTCCCGCTGGCCTGGTCCCACAGCCACGTCAGCCTCAAATAACACACAGAGATACTGTATTAGATATAAAGCTGTTAGCCTGTTATTAGCATTACTTATTAGCTGTCTTTGTCTTAAATATTAACCCATTTCTATCAATCTAAGTATTTCCATGTGGTCTTATCTTACCAGGGAGAGGATTGGAACCTCTGTTCTCTTGGTCCTACATGTTGAATCTCCTCCTTACTTCGTCCTCTCTCCTCCTAGTCTCCTAGTCCTGCCAATCTTACTTCCCTATTGGCCAACAGTGCTTTATTTATTAACCAATATGAGAAACATATATAGAATGACATCTCCCATCACACTGCACCCATGATGGCCTCCTGGCAGTAGGTGCCAGCCTTTTCCAAGAGACAGAAGAGAGCACAGGATTCCATGACCCCTTGTCATTTTTAATCATGTTGCTCCTTCAACAGCACCTCATTATGGGCTCTACCAGTGGGTGCCAAACCCCAGTTTGATCACAGACCCCTATCAGGTAGGAGGATTCGCCAAAGAAGGTTAACACCCCACCCCAGTGCATAGAGTGCTGGACCACCAACAAAGACCTGAGGGGTTTGCCACTCAAGGGCAGTTGCCACTGGTTCTGCCCAAGTCCTGGTGCCCAGAGTCACATGTGGACCAGAAGCCAGACCAGGAATATAGAGGAGTCAAAATCCTTGGTAGTGCAGACAGCTTTTAACATGTCACAGGCCTTGTGGAGACGGCAAGCAGTAAGGACACTCCAGATCCTAAGAAAAAGATGAGGTAGGACAAGGAAAGAAATGGCCCTTTCCTTTGGAAGTTCTGGAGAGCAAGAGCAGGGAAGCCAGTTTTCTACCTTCCACCCAGTCATCAGAAAAGGGATGGCCTCATCTTCTGTGCCCAGACCAGGAAAAGGGAAAAGAAACTTAAAGATGTCTATCCTGTTGGGAGAGTGTGTGGCTTGCCTGGAAATCCAAGTCTTCTCTGCCTCCTACTGCTGGATTACAGATGTCGTCCACCATCAACCAGTCTATGAGATGTTCTTCAAACAGCAACAAGTACAGTCCTTGGTGCTACAGAATGAAAGACAGAGAGAGAGAGAGAGAGAGAGAGAGAGAGAGAGAGAGATTGAAATTTCTCACCTGCCACACAAAGCAGTGAAAAGGCTACAGAGAATGATCTATTTGATAAAGGATACCAAAAAATAAAACCAACACGTTGTATGATTAGCAGTATTTATTTTCCCATAAAACTAGGAGCAAAACAGTGAAGTCTTCTCTCACTAATTTTATATATATATATATATATATATATATATATATATATATATATATATTCAGTATGTTGTGGGCTTTAAACTTGGGAAAGAACAAGAAAAAAACAAAAGACTAGAAAAGGTGGTATGATGTTGCTTTCATGTGTGAGATACTATTAACCACAGAGAAGGGAATAACAGATTTGAAGAAAAAAATGACAGCACTTCTCAAAAGTCCACTGTGTAGCTCTGGCAGATCTGGAACTCACAATGTGGCCAAGTTGGCCTCAAACTCACAGGGTTTGCCTCTTCTTACCAAGTGTTGCTATTAAGGCATGCAGCACCATGCTTGGAGTATAATTTTTTTCTAAACAACTTGCTTTTATTTTTCTAATTCTATGTATGTGTATATGATGTGGAAGAGGTATATGTATGTGGTTACAGTTGTTTGTGGAGGCCAGAGCCAACCAATGTTAATGTTGCATGAAGTGGAAAACTAAAACTATAAATATTTGGGAAGGACCCTCTGAAAAAACAATTTGCAAGAAAGGGCATGAAAACATGTTGGTTTAAAAAAAAAAATTAAAACTAAAATATTCTGTACAGCATTTTGTTTTTGCCAGAAATAAGAGTTTGGTAATAGGGATCACACTTCAATTCCTTTTGTCTATATGATCAAACAAAGACTACCTGGAATAGAAAAGTCTCCAGTGCCAAGCAAGGAGCATGGGCTGGAGCGATGGCCCCACTGTTAACCACACTGTTGCTCTTTTAGAGGGCCGGCGTTTAGTTCCCAGTACCTACATGGTGGCTCACAACCATCTGCAGTTCCTGTTCCAGAAGATCCGACACCCTCTTCTGGCCACACACATGGTACACATACACACAGTCTGATAAGCACTCACGCACATGAAGTACTTCTTTTAATCCTTTAAAAAAGATACATACAAAAAGAAAAGCAAAGGACGGGACTTTTACACAAGGATTTGGAGAGCTTGGAGGTGGGGGTTCTGATGCCATTTGTCACCTATATTATATATGTTAATTATATATAATGATAAAGCTTATGTGTAAAATTATATCTAACTATGAGGTTAATTATAAAGTTCTTAAATAGGGTAACACGTTTGTTCTAATAGTCACAGCAGCACCAGTAATATTGTTGCTATAGTCCTAGCAATTGCCTTCTAACCCCTGGTATTTTTCTTTTGCTAGCGCGGCCCCACATTGCAAGTGCTTACCGCTCCAAGCCCACACGTTGGCCATTTTTCTTGATCATCCCTTTCTACATTGTGATCTGTGTCCTGATTGCCATACTGGTAAAAGTCCACTCTCAAAGGAAAAAATGGAGGACTGATGACTACTCAAGCGATGAGTGTGTGGATTTCATACCTGTTTTCTTACTTTCATAATCAGTTGGTGTAATGGATTACCAAGGGCATCAAGACAGATATAGCTTGTCCCTCAGATTTAACATTGTTCTTTGTGTGGACATTGAGTACTTAACATACTAATGGTTAATAGAATGAAGAATCAGGTTTTTTTTAACCATCAGTTTTAATCTCATAAAAACTTAGTGGGCATGAAAATGTCACAGCAATATCTGTTGCTTTTTGTGATACTAAGAAAAAAAGTACAAAACACTCACCCTCTCTCTCTCTCTCTCTCTCTCACACACACACACACACACACACACACACTTACACCTTGGGCCTTTTTAGGGGTAAAAGCAAATGAAAATTACTATTTCCTATTTATTACATCATTATCAAATATGTAATGAATGGTACTTAATTCTTACTCTTCTCCACTGTAAAGAGGTTCTTTTATGTTATTTTGGAGAAAATGACAAAAAGTCTAGGAAAGTAGTTTTTCCTTTTATTTGGTTTTAGCCAAAAACAAAAACAAAAAACCACACAAATGAAGAACTAAGCAGCCAAAGGTGAAAGATAAAGAATTATCTAGACTAATATGACTAAAAGACATGACACCAGGATGGCAGCATACATCTGTAGCAAGAGGATCAGGAATTCAAGGCCAGCCTGGTCTGCATAGCAAGTTCCAGCCCAGCCCTGAACTACTTAGTGAGATTCTGTCTCAGAAAGAAAACACAGGAGGGTGGTATTTGGGAGATATCTCAGTGGGTTAAATGCATATACACGAGCATGAGAACTTGTTTTAACCCCATCACCCACATAAAAACTGGGCAGGCAGTGTGCACTTGACACCCCAGCACTGTGGGATGGAGACTGGCTCACTCTCTAGTTCACACTTAGCTGGCTTTCTTACACAGTCCAAGCTCACCCGCCTAGGGACCGAGTTGTCCACAGTGAACTGGACTTTCCCACTTCAATCAAGACACTCTCACATGATGGCCATAGACCAATTTGATGGAGGCAGTTTTTCAAGTGTAATTCCCTCTTCCTAGGAGACTCTAGGTTGTATGAAGTTGACAGTAAAAACCAAGCAGACCAAGAGTAAAGGCATTAAACTAGTAAATTTAACAGCAATGAGTAAAAGTGAAGATGAATGGCCACAAAAGCTTACAGGCAAGTTAGCTGTTTAAAAATGTTAAGAATCCAAGAATAGGCTCAACGTAGAAGCATTGTATCACTGTTTTTAAGTGATTGTCTCTCTCTTAACTAACTTATACAGGCAATTTGAAAGTGAAACTGAAAGCAAAGACTAGTCTGGACAGCAAAGATTTCCAAGATGTCATGGTGAGTCTCCAACATTCCAAGGGAAAGAGGGAAGGAGGAAGAGAAATGTATGAGACATAAAGGGTCATAGTCATATAGTTAGTTCTATATACTGACTACTTTGCAGCATTGTAATTTATATCAATAACATGAGAATGCTATATGTGATATTACAATTTATCACTGAAAAAAAAATCCTGCAGACTGGGGAAATAACTCAGCCTTGAAGGTGTAAGATCCTGAGTTCTATGGATAGAACCCAAACTGAAAACTGGGTGTGATAGCATGGCTTGTAACCGCAGCACTGGAAGGGCAGGAACAGGCAGGCAGATCCCTAAAGCACCTGGGAGACAAGAGCCAAGGTTCATCTCTGGCTTCCACATCCATGTGCACATCTATCCATGGGTATGTAAGTCCATCTGCAAATGCACGCGGGCACGCACACATACACAATTTCTTACAAGGGCCAAGCCTGAAGGTGTCAGCCTGTAATTCCAGCTTTTGGGTGGTGGCTGCAGGAGGCTCAAGAGTTCAAGTTCATTCTCTGCTGCATAGAGTTCAAGGCCAGTCTAGGCTACATCAGACTCTGTCTCAAAAAAAGAATTAATTGTTTTCCATTACATCCTTTAGGATTTTTGAGTTCAGATGTTGATCAAAGTTAAAGAGGCTTTAATTCCCCTTCATCATGAAATCCTCCTATGGTCTTTGTTATACCCAACATGGTTTGACCTGATTAGCTTTATGTGACTCCTCTCTTTATGTGTTCTTTCAGGGTAATCCTCTTCAGTGGACAGAAAATAATTGGAAAAGAAAAAAAAATATGCACTCTCTGATTGCCTGGAAGTCAAGCCTGTATATTGTGGTTTCCATCTAGCCAGAAATCATATCTCTCCATACACATGTATGATACATATATGTGTATATAACTCCATAAAATATTCATTTGTAAGAAATGTATGATTGTGAATTTTATATTATACTTTGAAATTTTATGACATTTCTGGTAGCCAGTAGACCTAAGTCATATTAATTATCTAGTAGGCATGTCACAGGGAAGGTTATAATAAAATAACATGGTGCCGTGGCTCATGTGCCTGCTAGTTTAGAGTGCAGTGGATATACTGTCACGTCATAGTCTGATGGATCATAACCAGACCAAAGGCAATGATCTTGGGGTTCAGAAGGCACTCTGACACACCTTGTTTAGAAAAGATACACACTAAGGCGCAGCTTCAAAGGATGAAAACACACACAAACAGAAGCCTGCACAAGAGAAGAGGGTGGGCTTGAACCCTAGTAGCCTTTGTGGAGAGGAAGCACAAAGACATCAGAGTTAAGATGGTCACTTTAAGAGGAAAATCAAATAACAAAAATTATTTTCTACCTCTTCCCGCAATCCTGGGAGTGGAGCCCAAGTAGTCACACATGCCAGGCAAATAGGATGCCACCCAGCCCCTATGAGTTTTAACGAACCTTCACCACACACACACACACACACACACGAATGCACGCATGCATATAACCAGGAAACAAATGGTTTAGATACACTGCAGTGTGATTTGGTTTGGGAATCACCCACTAATGGGATAAGCACATCTCACAGAAGGAAATTGATAAGTTTACATCAAAACTAATGAGGACATCTATGCTGTGGACTCTAGGACCACACCACGGAGGCAGAGTGAGAAGGAACTCATACCTGGAAATGCTGATCCAGAGGCCTCATGATTCCTGTATTGTCATAACTGTAAACTCTAAAGCTGGGAGGCAAGAACACTCTGCAAAAGCAAAGATGAGGTGTATTTAATAGAAAATTGTTTCCCACATGTTTAATTTTTAAAAGATCATTGCCAGGCAGTGAGGGCTCATGCCCTTAATCCCAGCACTGTGAGTTCAAGACCAGTCTGGTGGTCTACAGATCGAGTTCCAGGACAGCCAGGACTGTTACACCAAAAAAAAAAAATTAACATTATCATATTATCACATACATTATCTATAGGTAAGTTTGCAAAAGATTTCTTCGTCCAAATCTTTTTCCTCTATGTTAAATTGCCAAAACTATTGCTTGTAAGCCAGTTTTGTTTTTTGTTTTTTTTAAACTAAACTTAAGGTAAATTCTGGGGCCACCCATCAGCTGTAGGAGCTGGTCTGTCATGCCTTGTGTTCCAATCCCAGCATGGAATGGAACTGAATGGACATAATGAATGGCACATGCCTATGGACCAAGCACCAGGGAGGTAGAAGCAGGGGGATTAGAATCGCAGTCACTTTTTTGGGTGACATCTAGTCTAGCCTGGGCTACAACATCCCCATTCCCCCCCCACCAAAAAAAAAAAGGGAAAAAGATTTAAGGTAAATATATAGTAAAAATGCTTAAAATCTCCTGTGTTTGAGGCAAGCAATACATTCATAAATCTATGAATCTAAGAAGAATGTTTAGTGGGGCTTTAAATATATTTTGAACTGTATCTTTTTCAATATTATTGAAAAACTGTGTGTCGTAGTTAAGTCTTGTGCTTAGAAGGTATCTAAGCTATTTGAAGACACTAAAAGAAAATTTTTAAAGAATTTATTATTTTGTGCACATATAAGAGTATGCAATATACACTTACATATGTATGTGTGCTCACCTGTATGGACATGTGTGTTCAGGTACACATGTGTATGGAAGCCAGAGATTGACCTAGGGTGGTGTCTTCCTTGATCACTGATGGGAGATGTAATGGAAAAACCGTACTCATTACAGATCACTTTCTGCTTTATTTGCTGAGGCAGGGTCTCTCACCAACCCTGAGCTAATCCATTTGATTAGTGTGATGAGAGCTGGGTTTAGAAGTGAAACTGTCCAGCCCAGTGGCTTTTATGTGGATGCTGGAAATCCAAGTTCTTGTCTGCATGTTTGCAAGTCAGGCCCTTTATCCACTGATACTCATCCCTAGTCAACTGTTTTTTTTTTTTTTAAATAGGATACAATGTAGAAATTAACAAAAAGCAAGGAAAATTACCATATTAAAAGTTTGTTCAAAAAGGTGAAATTAATAACCTTGTTCTCCTGAAGATCAAGGAAAATATTAAATCAGATATAAGCATCCTGTAGAATAATACACATGCAGTTATGACAAATAAGAAAGTTGCATTTCTTAGATGAAATAGAAATCTTTTACTAAAAATAATACATAGCAAAACTGAGCAAAGTATAATTTAATATCTGCAGCTATCATACTTTTCAAAGCAATAATATTCATAACAACAACAACAAAAAGCATGAAGTTTCAGGTCTGGACAGCTTCCTCAAAAGCCTCACATATTCTGGTTGCTTTCAGGAGGTTAGCAAACACTGATAGCAAAAGTTAGCAAGACTCAATCCATGGAACTCTTCAGCAGAACCAACAAGTTCTGAGCTACGTGACCAAGAGCAGGCATGTGACTGAGTCAGGGTGTTGACCCAAGCTTATTTGACTCCAAAGCCCACACAATCCAGCCAAGCCATGCTAAGAGGAGTGTGGACTTTATTCTGAGCACTGCCTAGGAGAAAACTGGAGGCAGGCCAGACAAGCTCCCAGCATTCTTGGGAAAGTGACCTTAAGAGGAAAGATGCTAACTAATTACTGCGATGGGAAGTCTTAGAAACTGTTACAGTTGATGGGATAGAATCAGAGTGTCTATTGTTATGATGCAGCAGCCGGGCTTTATCTGTAATGAGAGCTGGGAGAGGGCTTTGTTCTCAAGCACAATGATTCCAGGCTTGGGCTTTGTTAGATCCTCAAATAAGTGACCTGACCACAGGAAGGAGACTGGGGTGAGTCTACTCCTCAGCTGAGAACATTCCTGGGAGGCTCAGAACTGGGCTGGGGAAGACCACTGTTGTTGGGTGTTTGTGTGTTTGTTTGTTTACTCTTTGGAAGCCACCACCCATCTCACAAATAAACACATGGAGGAGACTTATTTCTACTTAGCAATGCCTGGCCTTAGCTTGGCTTATTTCTAGACAGCTTTTCTTAACTTCAATTGCCCTTTTGCCTCTGGGCTTTTATCTTTCTCTATTCTGTATACACCTTCCTTTACTACTTTCTTGGCTTGCTGTGTAGCTGGGTGGCTGGCCTCTGGTATCCTCTCTTTATCTGTCCTTGATCCTCTCTTCCCAGATTTCTCCTCCTATTTATTCTGTCTGTCTGCCAGGCCTACCTGTTTCTCTCTCCTTCCCAGCTATTGGCTGTTTGGCTCTTTATTAGACCAATCAGGTGTTTTAGACAGGCAAAGTAACACAGCTTCGTGGCATTAAATAAAACATAAAAGAATGCAACACACCTTTGTATCATTAAATGTTCCACAGCATAAACAAATGTAACACATCTTAAAAGAATTATCTCACAGCAGCCCACCCACAAGACTTAACTGCTAGCCTGCTCACTACCCTATCGCTGAAGACATCAGTGGGTAAAGAGACTTCTTCTCCATAGTTGTTTCCTTATCTGCAAATGTCTGATGTCCCAGGATAGTCTCAAACAGGTGATAAATGACGACTGTCAGCTAAATTGGTGTCACTAATCCCCCTGTCCTGCCTCCCTCCTTCCAACCAGGTCCTCATAGTCATTTGGACAAGATGAGTTTGAAGGTATTCACTGCCCTAAAATGAGACCCAGCTCAGTCCTGAATGAAGGCAGCCTCCTCTGCAGGGCCTGCTGCCATTTGCTGGGTCAAGAGTGAGTTCTGTCTTGGACCCAGCTCAGTAATTACCCTAGAGTCCTAAACTAAAGAATTTATTGTCTTAGCTGCTATGCCCAGATGGAGGAGTCCCCAAAGACCACTGAAGAGGCCTAACTTTAGTGCAGCCATGACAGGCTGCAGAGTAACAATACTGGGACTAGGCCTCACCCTTACAATAACCAGGAAAAACCACAGACTAACCTGCAGGGGACCAATCAGAATTAAGACAAACATGTACTAAGATGCTCCAGAACATTAAAAATAGCTTACCTAACTTGTATATAAGTTGCCAATTTCCTTACAACAA